TTAAAGACACTGACTTGCCCAGGTTCAAGACCTGAGCACTGCATGACGGGATGTTCATCCATCCTTGCCCACCTTGCTCTTGCCCACCTAGTAGTTCAAAAGCATACAAGTGAGAGTAAATAAATAGGTACCACTTTGGTGGGAAATTAATGACATTCTATATGCCTTGGCATATAGTCATGCAGGCCACATGACTATAGAAATGTCTTTGGATAACAGTGGTGCCCCCTGCTAAGAGATGGAGATGAGTACGGCCACTTGAGTTGGACACAACTGGACAGGGGAAACACTTACTTTTATTAGATTTTTATCCTGCCTTTATTACTTTATAAGTAACTCAAAGTGATGAACACACCTGGTACTCTTTCCTCTTATTTTCCTCACAACAATAGCCTTGTATAAGCTGAAAAAGAGTGATTGGCTTAAAGTTATCCAACCAGTTTTTCATACCTAAGTCATGACTAGAACTCAGCCCACCTGGCTTGTATTTGCGGCACCTTAAGTACTATACCAAACTGGCTTTATGATAACTTCTCTGTTAAGGTCTTAGCTGCCTGCATCATTATGCTTGACCCCAGTTGGCATCAGCATATTTGAACGCTGGTCTCATTCCTTTACTGCATTTTACATATTACAATTCAAGAAGGATTTCAGGCAATAATGTTTCATGTATAAGAGTAGGAAGGAGATGAGACTGCCAAGAATGTGGGACATGTTAACAAGATAAATAACTATTAATTTTTACAAAACATTTTGCCTGGGCAATTAGGTTATCACAAAACTCTGGCTTTATTTGCTTCCCTTTGTTTTCTCTAAAAGCTCAATATAGCATTTAGCTCTTAATTCCCTTGCTGTGAGATCTTCCATAGACAGTACAATCCATCCATACTTTTCTTCAGAGATTAGTTCTGATTATTTCTAAACATAAAAGATACATCATTGTTTATTTATTGAGTGTGAACAGTAGCAGTAATTTGATAAATCCTAGTATATTCAGAAGTTCTTAAGAGGGAATGGGTATAGGACAGTTATGGAAGTGTAATAAATTTACATTTCAAAGTGAGCAGTACCAGTATAAAGACTGAAATTTACTT